CTAGTGCTGCTGAGAGGAGTATAAAATGATATGTATTTATAACATTTCTACACTAGTGAGTGGTATGCACAACGTATTAAATCATTGTTCTCACCCAGCTCTCTATATTTGGGGATTCCTTAAACTGCCCATGAAACCTAACTTCTATTACCAGTGTCTCTCTGGCTTTTCCTTTTCCCCTCTACCATTATGAGCACCATTACCACTATCATTTACTGAAAACCTGCTCTGTTTTAAGACTATCCTAAGAGTTTTGGCATTACCTCATTTAATCCTCATAACATTGTGTGGTATACCATATATATCCTTTTTCACAGAGGAGAAAAACTGGTTAATAATATAATTTGCTCAAGTTAATAGTGAGGGAGCAGCAGATATGGAACCCAATTCTAGTCCTCTAACTCTCAAGTCTGTTAGTCTAAAAATGTCAAATGATCTGCTGTTCACATCAGAATTTCTATAACTCCCTGCTATTCTGATACTATGATCATGAGCTTCTTTAAATGGTAAGGCATTTATGTACATTCATGGATTAAATATACACATATACAACAACTTGCACATAGTTTTGGTTTCTGTATGGATCTGAGAGTCTTCCAGAAAACCAAATGGTTTGATGCAGTAAACCAAATACCCAGTGGGCACAGACTGTTCTCTTTATCTTGAAATCCCAGCACAGGGACTGCAGGGAAGATTAACTATGGCTTAGAAATTTGGCATAGCTCTATAGGGCTTCGATTTGGTGTCTGCTTCAAGTAAAAAATGTTCTTGTTGAAAAAAATAATAACTTTAACTGAGGGAATTCATTTAAAATAGAGCGAGGGGGGTGAAGGAGAATGGGTGAAATAGGTGAAAGGGATGAAGAGCACACTTATTATGATGAGCACTGAGTAATGTATGGAAGTGTTGAATAACTACATTGCACACCTGAGACTAATAAAGCACTATGTTGAGTCTCCTGGAATTAAAATAAAAAACTTAGTAAAAAAAAAACTTTTGAAACATTATTAGGTGTTACTGTTATTGTTATTAAATATATATTCAATCATTTTCATAATATCTCATATTACAACTTTATATTTTTTTCAAAGATTTTATTTACCTATGTGAGACAGAGAAATAGCATGAGTGGTGGGGGAAGCATGGAACAGAGGAAGAAGCAGGCTCCCCACTAAGCAGGTAGCCCAACATGGGGTTCAAGCCCAGGACCCCAGGATCATGACCTGAACCAAAGGCAGACACTTACCTGATTGAGTCACCCAAGCACCCTTACAACTTTATATTTTTAATACTTTTTCCTAATTCTCCTTCACATGGATGATTGTCATAATACAGTATAACCTTAGCATGACTTTCATTAACCTCTACTACTACAGATGACTGGAAAAAGACTCCCAATTTAAATTAAGCCAGGCAATTCTGTTCAATAATTTTCTGTTGCGTAAGCAACCAAAACTTGAAAATAACATGCCTTTCTAACATAACTTGAGAACAAACAGGCCTTGTTGAAATATACTTAACCTGCAACACTTACACAGGGCCTGAGGTCAATGTTCCCTTTAATGACTTAAACCTCAGGTGAGGGTAGGCCAGATGCTCACCACCTGCCATGTGACCAGGGACATTACTGGATGCTGTCAGGATTGGGCTCATAAAGCCTATGAAATACCATCCATAAAGGGATATGATGTTTGGAAAGAAAGAGGAGGGCAGCCTGGGTGGCGCAGTGGTTTAGCGCCGCCTGCAGCTCAGGGTGTGATCCTGGAGATTCGGGATCAAGTCCCATATCGGGCTCCCTGCATGGAGCCTGCTTCTCCCTCTGCCTGTGTCTCTGCCTCTCTCTCTCCGCTCTGTATCTCTCATGAGTAAATAAAATAAAATCTTTAAAAAAAAAAAAAGAAAGAGGAAGGTGTCATGGGCATTGACACATCTTAGTGTGGATTAAGCTCAGACACATTTTTTTAAAGATTTTATGTATTTATTAATGAGAGACAGAGAGAGAGAGGCAGAGACACAGGCAGAGAGAGAAGCTGGCTCCATGCAAGGAGCCCGACGTGGGACTCGATCCTGGGTCTCCAGGATCACACCCTGGGCCAAAGGCGGTGCTAAACAGCTGAGCCACCAGGGCTGCCCACTTAGACACATTCTTAAACACAGAAGCACTGACTTCATCATATTTGTTTGACAAACTAAAATAAGCAGAGATAATAGAAATAGAGAACAAAAATATAATGTGGATTTTATTTCTGAAAACGGTTTCATTAATTCTTTATATTACTGTAAGCCAGTAGCTGGGACAGTACGACCTATATTTTATGAATGAACTATGAATGAACTGGTGAATGGCTAAACTAGATAGGGCAACCAGAATGTGCTCTCTATTATCACCTATAGGTTGTCAATCCCTCAGGATGAATGGCCAGTCTTCTGTTTTTCTGACCATATTTTTAAAGGCAAAATACATAAAATCAGACAATAAACCATAATATATTTGTTCTCATAGAGAACTGTCCTGAACAAAATCTCACCTTTATGCAAATAAGTTTGGGTATCATGTATCAGTGCTTTGTCTTAGTGGTTTCAAAGAATGAAACTAGCTCATTAATATCTTTCTCACTCTGAAAAGAAAGTGAAAGCATTTCCTTTTGGGTATCAATCTAATATATAAGCATGCCTGGTACAGAAACAATGGCAAAGAGCATTCATCTTTGCATATTTTATGGGACCAGATTTACCTGGTTCTTGATTTCCTTTTGTACTCATAAAATTCAGTGCTCTATGAGTATTCATTTAGGCAGCATGAAAAATAAGACTTTTTTGTACAGTGATTTGATTATAATTATCATGCTTTTGTCACTTATCTCATAATAATCTGATAAAAAGAATATATTCTCACCTAGTTTTGATATTAAATATCTCCAATTTATTTAGAAAATATGATTGAATATATATTTTATTACCAATTTATATTATCTTTTAGATGTGAGAGATTTATATTGCCCCAACCTATTATTTCATATATCTCCTACATGAAATAAAAGTTCAATTACTCAGGAGAGATGCTAACAATGGACTGTAATAAATTAGAGAGTTTTAAAGCAGTTTTGATAAAAGTATACTCACAAACATATATTATCAGCTCTTATAAATATTCTGGGGTCAGGAGAGAAAAATGTTTAAAAGTCAGTGTAGGGCAGCTCCCGTGGCTCAGTGGTTTAGCACCGCCTTCAGCTCAGGGCATGATCCTGGAGACCCAGGATCGGGTCCCACTTCAGGCTCCCTGCATGGAGCCTGCTTCTCCCTCTGGCTCTCTCTCTGTATCTCTCATGAATAAATAAACTCAAAATGGATGAAAGATCTAAATGTGAGACAAGATTCCATCAAAATCCTAGAGGAGAACACAGGCAACACCCTTTTTGAACTCAGCCACAGTAACTTCTTGCAAGATACATCCACGAAGGCAAGAGAAACAAAAGCAAAAATGAACTATTGGGACTTCATCAAGATAAGAAGCTTTTGCACAGCAAAGGATACAGTCAACAAAACTAAAAGACAACCTACAGAATGGGAGAAGATATTTGCAAATGACCTATCAGATAAAGGGCTAGTTTCCAAGATCTATAAAGAACTTATTAAACTCAACACTAAAGAAACAAACAATCCAATCATGAAATGGGCAAAAGACATGAACAGAAATCTCACAGTGGAAGACATAGACATGACCAACACGCACATGAGAAAATGCTCTGCATCACTTGCCATCAGGGATACAAATCAAAACCACAATGAGATACCACCTCACACCAGTGAGAATGGGGAAAATTAACAAGGCAGGAAACCACAAATGTTGGAGAGGATGTGGAGAAAAGGGAACCCTCTTACACTGTTGGTGGGAATGTGAACTGGTGCAGCCACTCTGGAAAACTGTGTGGAGGTTCCTCAAAGAGTTAAACATAGATCTGCCCTACAACCCAGCAATTGCACTGCTGGGGATTTACCCCAAGGATACAGATGCAGTGAAACGCCGGGACACCTGCACCCCGATGTTTATAGCAGCAATGTCCACAATAGCCAAACTGTGGAAGGAGCCTCGGTGTCCATCGAAAGATGAATGGATAAAGAAGCTGTGGTCTATGTGTACAATGGAATATTACTCAGCCATTAGAAACAACAAATACCCACCATTTGCTTCGATGTGAATGGAACTGGAGGGTATTATGCTGAGTGAAATAAGTCATTCGGAGAAGGACAAACATTATGTGGTCTCATTCATTTGGGGAATATAAAAAAAAGTGAAAGGGAATAAAGGGGAAAGGAGAAAAAATGAGTGGGAAATATCAGAAAGGTAGACAGAACATGAGAGACTCCTAACTCTGGGAAGCAAACTAGGGGTGGTGGAAGGGGAGGTGGGCGGGGGGGGTGGGGTGGGAGTGACTGGGTGACAGGCATTGAGGGGGGCACTTGATGGGATGAGCACTGGGTGTTATTCTATATGTTGGCAAATTGAACACCCCCCAAAATAATAAATTTATTATTAAAAAAATAAAAAAATAAAAAATAAAAAGATAAAAGTCAGTCTAAAGCTTAATAACTTGACTTTTAAACATGACTAGATCATGCAAATAGGGAGCTTTTATGAAGAATTGGGAAAAATTTTTAAAAATGTTCAGTTATTTCCTTATTTTAGAAATCAAGCAATTTGCATCAAAGAGATTTTCAAATACTAATAACTTTAAGTTACATTAAATTAAAATTAAGTGTTTGGTTTTTCTTTATTTGGGGACATCCTTTATATAGAATAGGCATGAGTTCATTATGTTATATATTTTTAAATTATGTGTGTAGCAATGTTAGTATTCTTCCCACCCCAAATCAATAATAGAAATTCAATTATTCCATACTTGCAATTATTTAGAATTTCAAGTTTTGATGTTTTTATCATCTACATGGTTAAATCACTGGCTCATATTGTAAAGAATATTTTAATGGAAATAGAGTACCTGAGCAGCTGGATTCATCAGGCTGGAAATCTGCGCAGTTGGCAAAACCATCACAGCGCTCATGAACTGGGATACAGCTGTTCGAGGAAGTGCACATCAAAGCACTATCAGAACAGCTCTCATTGGCTGGGGAAAAAAAAAAGAATCATCTCTTTTTTAAGTGAATTTCTTCTAATGAAATAAGACAGTTTATTGTATCATTCCTTATCTTTCTAGTCCTATACTTAAATTATATAATTCTTTCTGATTCTTCAAAAAGTTTGTTGATAGAATCATTTCCCAGCTGTGCACTATGTACTATTATACTGGTATGTATGTATAAGTTAACTATGTGTATACTATGTAGTCTGAATTGATTTTAGACTAGAATATACTATGTCAAGGCAGAGCTCTCTGTGCTTCTGCTGCCCTCCTAATGTCCCTGGCATTATGTACAACTGAAGTGACAGCAACCATTACTTGTTTGAATGTTCATCCATTTCCACATGGTTTAAGTCATGGGTTGTCATATAGGTCACTGCAGCTCAGTGCCCTATGACTATGTGCCTTTATAACATGGTGCATTTTACTAATTCCAGAGTCTCTCATCAGCCTGATTTCAAGAGACAAGCATAGGTCTTGCTCGTAAGACTTGTGTTGTTTCAGAAAAATGACTTCACTTTTGTTAACTAAAGGTACTGACAATTCTATAACAATCTAGTTTGCCAAGTACTCAACCTCTCTTGGATGCTATTCTTAGTCATGAAACTGTATTTTTGTCTTCCTGCCTCTCTATCTTTTGTCTCATCAGGATGATGGTTTCCTGTAAAGCTGTAGATCATGTTTATGATCTTTTTACAAGTTAGAGCTGAACCAGAACAGAACCCTTCATTCCAGGCTGCCATCAGTCATTTCTTGTCTCCTATTTGCTTGAGAACCTGGAAACCAGCAGGCTTAGGTTTCAGGCCTAATCTCTGTTCTCTGGTTCTACCTGTTTTGTTCCATGCTGAAATTTGTCATGTCTTTAAGACTTTTGATGTGATAGCTCTTCCATCTAGCATTGCTACATGTTTGGAATAGAGGGAACATTGAACCTTGGACCTACTGCACCATCCTGTCAAGAATTCTGGATATATTTCAAAAGCACTAAATAATGATTATATGATCTACACTGATTTTCTGTCCCTGATCCTTTGAGTCCTTCAGTTCTGCAGAGAGAAGCAGAGGGCAACAGTATACAGTCAAGGCTTTGTGGTGCCTAATCCAAGTTCAACAAGAACAATTCTGCCTTTCTCTGACTTACCTAATAGTGTCACATACAATACCCGATTTGAACATTTTAATCCAAACCTGCTGCTAGAGTTAAAAAAAAAAAAAAAAAGAAGAAGAGGATTGACCTGGGAAGTTACTTCTACTAGAATAAAGACAATTAAGTTCAAACTTCTCAACCTAAATTGATATTTTTAGAAGACTTGGAAATAAGCATCCCCATGGATGAGTCTTACACAAATTTTGTCAGTATTAATCATGATTTTTTTTTCTCTTTCAAGTATATTTATGGGCTGGAATTGTTGGAGTTATCATAGGTTATTGACACGGTTTGACAGCTGCCTATCAAAATTAATTTTCAAATTGGACATGAAATGTTTTTAAGAGTCTTTCCATTGATTAAAAAAGCTAGTTCTGAAAACTAAAGTGATACTTTTCATTGAGTAATCCTGAGGTGCTAGAACATCAGTTCCTGCCAGTAAATATGATGGAGCTGCCACTACATTTAAGACTTTATGCTTAGCACTTCAACTGGAGACTGCAGGGAAAGATATTTTAGAAAGAGTGAAAGGAAAAAAAGAAAAAGATTGACCAGAACATAATGAGCAATAAGAGCAAAATGACAACACAAAAGCAGTTAACAATTTAAAATAATAATAAGAGAAATGCCATAAGGACAGACTTAATTGGTAAAGTATCAGTACAGATAAGTATTATAAAAATAAGAGGTGCCTTTTAGTGCATGAAGTCCTGTAAAGACTGAAAGAGTAGAGTCTTGAGATGTTTTAAATTTTCATGTTTCTAATAAGCCATTTAGCAGAGTGGGAACAAAATCTATAAATGGGGGATCAATAAGTTTGACATTACAACAGTGAGTATAGCAGTTTGCCTTTCACTGGGGAGTTTGTGTAAGGAGATACTGCAGACAAACTTAAAGCACAGGACTGAAACCAGATTGTAGAAATGTCTGAGGTCTCTGAAGAGATGTCTTTAAGCTTTTACAACAGGTTAAATAATTTTAAGATCTACATTGACAAGATAAATGACCTTGTAAACCAAGTAAACTAGGAAATAGAATGATCTTCCAGCTCTTATAAGATGAAGAGTTGTTTGTAAAAAATGAATATGTATGTATATACATGTATGTTTGTGTATATATACACATTGTTATCACCATTGTTTTGCATTATAAGGGGCTGAGAGATCAGATTAGTGTTACAGTTTTATTTAAGATTTATTTATTTATTTTAGAGAGAGAACACAAATGGTGGGACAGGGGGCAAAGACAGGGAGAGAGAATCTCAGTCAGACACTGCTGAGCATGGAGTCTCAATGCGGGACTTGATCTCATGACCCTGAGATCATGACCTGAGCTGAAACTAAGTGTTGGACACTTAACTGATTGAACCACCTGGGTGCCCCAACAGTATTAAGGTTTTAAATAATACAGTATGTTTAATTTGTATACAAAGATGATAGATAATACTCATCTACTATTGAAACATTATTTCAAACACTTCTACACTTGAAAATGCTAATCCATTCACATACCTTCACTCAATTTCCTGTGTGACTGATAACTTATTTTCAAGTTGACTATACAATGAAGAGCTCTACCTGTAAATGGCCTAAATCCTCAGCTTTGGCCCAAATAGTATTGAAACACATAAAAAAAATGTAACAAAATAAATGGTTTCCAGTTATAAAAAGTCTTCCTTTTCCCCTTTATAGAAATTTTATAGCTAAGAGACACTGTATGAAATTAAAAACAAAAATCTTAGTTTCTATGGCATTTAAAATAGTATTAGACACTGTATGAAATTTAAAATAAAAATCTTAGTCTCTATGGCATTTAAAATAGTATAACATTAAAGTTAATAGATATTTATCAATTTCCTTCTAAAAGTAGATGGCAAATAAGTTATGAATGCAATTAATATGTACCAAAACCTACACGGCAAAGGACATTGTACTGAATATAGGAAAATTAAACCATTACTATCCTTTTCTCCTTATCACTACATACACAACAAAGAAAAATTCCAAAAGTACTCCAAATAATCTATACATAAAATTTAGAGGAAACTTAGATTTCAGAATTTCCCTGGACAATATCTACTTTCACCACATTCAAACATGATGGGTTAGTGTGTATAAAAACACTTGTCTCAATCTGTCATCCTAGAGGTTGACATTCTTTCTTACCAAAATGAGCCAAGTAACAGAACATTCTGTGGCTTTTAGCTTATTCACTCAGGTATTAAACATACATTAAATATAAGCAATTCATGAATGGTTCACTGGAGTTACTTTCCTAAAGCAAATTCTCTTTTATAAATTATTGTTGTTACATACAAAATATAGACAAAAGTAAAGTACATGTGTCTAGGGATGTATATCCATTTGCTATGAATATGAAAGCACATGTATGCAGTCCCACATTTCAAAAAGCAGAGTGACTATGATCTTACATCTTGAGAATGAAGGTTGTCAGCCCTTCAAGGCATGTCCACACCTAGCACAGAGCAGGATGGATATTTACTCTACCCTTGAGCTAAAACCAACTACTACTCTTACTGAAATATCTTTGCAGTTTAAATAAGTTTTATAAATAAGTTTAAATAAGTTTTATAAAACTACAAAAACAATTTAACAGGTAAAGAATAATAATGTATTATGTGCATTATGCAACTGACCATATTCATCCAATTCTTCAGTAACTCTGGGAAATAGACAATCACCATGGTTTTAATGTTGAATAAGCTGAGGAACACTTTTGTGAGAAGCTATCAAATGCAAAGTGATGATCTTTATACTATCATAGAGAACCACCATAGGATGTTGGGATCAAAGCTAACATATTGAAAGGCTGATCATAAAAATATTGATGATAAAGGTTGACCCACCAATATCAAGAGCCTGACCCATTTTAAATCTTCTAAATGGCAACCAACTTCATAAGATACATTGACTACTACTGGAATATGAATTAATGGTAGAAAGTGGGTAGACTATTCACTTCCTCATCTTTTTCAGTCACATCCATCATTGACAGATAGCTTCCAGTGCCTCTTACAAAACATTCTGCATCTTCCCTCTCTGCTCAGAATCCAGAAGCCTGAACTATAAAGGACACGTCAACACACCTCTAGCCCTCTAGCTTCTTCTTGGTTTGGCTGATGTATAGAACCAGCAAGAGGTAAAAGGGATGGAAGAGGCTGTGAGATCAGCATGGGCTAGCTGTTCTCTGACCTTTTATCAAGGAGCCCTCTTTGATTCCAGGTTAAGACACATCTTCCCTCTCACATCCTTTGGCCTATGGGTACTAACAGCTCCTGCTTTTACTACCCAGTGTGGTTTCCTTATGCATACTATCTCCCTATAAATAAATAACCTCTTTATTAAAATACTCTCAAATTTTACAAAATCAATGTACCATCTGTGTCTTGTGAGGATACAACATCGGATGAACTGGAGGAATATCAGTAGAAGAAAGCTCCTTTGTGCTATTTTTCTATATAATTAAACCATACTAGTTTTTTTCTCCTTTTACAGGTTTAAACATTCTGATTACTAGAACACTTATTTTTACAAGAATAAAAGGCCATTTGATATTGATTTCCCTGCTTAAATTGTGACCACTTCAGAATCCTTATTCCCACAACATTTAAACATGTGCAAGCCTCTCAAAACCAACTTAAAAAAAAAAAAAAAACTTACTCCTCTTCTTCCGACTACATCACATTCTAAGTGCCAACTTCTTGGAAGAGGTGTCTATAGTTGATTTCTCTGTTTGCCTACTTTCTCTATTAAAGATTGGCTTCAGAATTCTGGCCCTCCTGCCCACCCAAGTTTCCTTTCCAGGATCACCAGGAATTCTGTTATGCTTTTCCTAACCCATATGTTTTAGGCCTAATCTTACATGATCTCTCAGAAACATTCCAGCCTGTGAATACTCTGTATTTAAGGCTTTATACGTTTCATTTACGGTTGTCACTCTCTTACCAGTGTCCTCTCATGTCTCTGACCACATCTCAGGGTCTTTCAATGTTTGTTTTCTCTTAACTGTCCTCTACCTTTTGTTTTCTTCTCTATCCTCTATATTATCTCATCAACACCTACAGCTTCAAGCATGTATGCTGAAGGCCATGTGTCTTTATATATCTTGCTTTATCTCCTTCCTGAGTTCCACTTATCCATTCTGAATACATCTTCAATATTTCCATGTGGATATGTCACAAACCACAAACACAACAAGTTTAAAAGTGAGGCCACAATCTTCCCCTAAGCAAAGCTTCTCCTCCCATTTTTCCCAGCTCAGGAAATGGCCCATTCTCTGTCCTGTTGTCCAAATCAGGAACTTGCAAACTATTCTTGATTACTTTCTTTTTCTTCTTCATCTGAACATTTCTAAAATCTAGTCAAAATCTTTACTTCACACTGTTATGCAGTCAATTCTTTGTACTTCAGCTGTGACACCTTCTAGCCAGACCTGTGTCTCACTCCAGTGTATTCAATGTACTACTTGAACGGTGGGTGTCAGTTGCATGACCGATGAGGAAGGACTCTTCAAAGTCTAGTCCCTTCTCATCTCTCAAGACTTATTTCTACATTTCTCACCACAAACTCTATTCCAATTATACAAAATATTCTTCAAGGCAAACAACTTTTTCTCAATTTCTGGACTTTAAGTGGAATCAAGCACTTCTATACTTTACTTGCCAAATGACTACTGTCTTTCCAAATTTGCCCCTGCAATCACTTCTCTTACTAAAGTTTACAGATTCCCTAGCACCACAAGTATGACCTACCCTATGTTTTCAATAACATTGGGTTTATCTCTGTCACAGAACTTGTTTTATCCTCAACTATCACCTTCAGTAATATATCATGAATCCACAATCTGAGCCAGTCTATGCACATCCATCTGTATTATCAATGCCCACAACAATATGTGGCATAAATTACATTCTTAATGAGACCTTGTGAGTGAATAAATAACTGTGAGTTTAAAGAAAATACCATTCTAAATCAATAGGTAAGCCCAGAAAAAAACCAAAAACCTAGTATATCTTCAATTGTGTGAGTCATCATTAGGTGCTTTTATTCTGTAAATTTGCCCTAGCATTTTTCCCCTAATTTTCACACAATTTTCCTTATAGACTCATAACTTAATTAAATATTTCAGAGATGGATGGAAGCAATACTTCCACGATACCAGTTCCCAGCATGGGCTTATTTTCCTTTAGGAGTAGAACTTCACATGTTACTCCATCATCAAACACCAGGTTCCCAAAGAGTGTTTGAAAGTATAAGGATACTGTACTTTCCTAAGCTTCTATTTAAATAGCATTCTTATTTGAAGTCAAATATCATATGACTCTATAGAACTTAATAAGATTTCTATCAACCAAATTACTTAGAGCCCTGATGGGAATAGGGATAAATTATTTGGCAGGCTTTTTCTTCTTCATTCACTTCCATTTGTTTACTTTCCTCTAAGAAAATATGATAAGACTTGACAAGTTGGCTTTATTACATAAAGAATATACATGTAGGAAACAACAGGGGAATGGAATACCAATCTCTAAGCCTAAACTAGGAAAGGAAGTTCATTTATTTATGACTGAAATCTTTGAACATCCAAATGCTGTATCCCCTTTCTTGTATTCATCTGTCCTCCTTTTCTAATACTTATAATTCCTGATGCCCACTCTAAACAAGACACTAAAATAGCTTTATATTTCTTTCAAGGTCCCCTTAAAGTTACATTCCAAGCTGTTTTTTTACTACTTAAAACAATTGTGGTCATTAACCTGTGGTTTGTGTAGCTCTATCACTGCAACCTATGTCAAAATATAAAATACAATATAATGAAACACCAAGCAAACAAATAATTAATGAGATGGTAGCGGTGCTTTGACTCACCATGCTTTTGTACTCACCTTAATGATTTGTGTAATTCTTAACCAACATTCTCCCTTCCCTCTATGAAATAGGCTAGTTATAATAAAAGTAGAAAGTGCTGAATACAGGGCTGAGGATTTTCCATATATTTTCTCAAATCTTCACAGTTCTATAAAGCAGTATTACATGGATGATAAGACTGATTCTAATAATGTTCTCAAGCCTGCACTTGCAATAAGTGATAAGGATTATATTCAAAACCATGTCCTTAGGATTTAATTCCATGAATCCTTAATCATGTGACATCTACCCAGGTAGTAGTCCAGGTCCAACCCCTACCTACATATCTTCATTAAAATGAATATTTGCCTATGTCTCCTTGCTTGATCCATCTTCATAAATACATTGGGAAGCAATTAAAACTACATGTCATCAGTCCATTTCCACAAACATTTGTTAAAACAGTAAAAAGTCCCATTTATAGGTGTATCCAGAAACATCTAAAAATAAATTTAACCAAGGAATGGAAAGATCTGTATGTTGAAAACTATAACACATTGATGAAAGAAACTGAAAACAATGAAAATAAATGGAAAGGTATATCATGCTCATGGATTGGAAGAATTAATTTGCTAAAAGGTCCAAAATACTCAAAACAATCTACAGATTCACTGCAATCCCCATCAAAAATACTAATAGTATTTTCTACAAGACCTATTTATATGGTACCAAAAAAGACTCCAAATATCCAAAGCAATCTTGAGAAAAAAGAACAAAGCTGGAGGTATCACAATCAGATTTCAAAATATACTACAATGTCATAATAATCAAATAGTATGGCACCAACAGAAAATCAGATGCACAGATCAACAGAACAGAATACAACACAGAAGTAAGCCCATGCATATAAATAGGCAATTAGGGACGCCTGGGTCGCTCAGTGGTTGAGCGTCTGCCTTTGGCCCAGGGCATGATCCTGGAATCCCAGGATCGAGTCCCATATCGGGCTCCCTGCATGGAGTCTGCTTCTCCCTCTGCCTCTCTCTCTCTCTCTCTCTCTCTCTCTCTATGTCTCTCATGAATAAATAAATAAATAAATAAATAAATAAATAAATAAATAAGCAATTAATCTATGACAAAGGAGACAAGAGTACACACCAGGGAGAAGACAGTCTCTTCAATAAATGGTGCTGAAAACTGGATGGCTACATGCAAAGGGATAATTCTGAAGCACTTTCTTACATCACATACAAAAATGAAGTCAAATGGATTAAGGACCTAAATGCAAGACCTGAAACCATAAATTAAAAGAAAACATAGGCAGTGGACTCTTGGACATTGGCCTTAGCATATTTTTTTCTGGATTTGTCTCCTCAGGTAAGGGAAACAAAAGCAAATTTATCAGTTTGAAGTACATGAAACTAAAAAGCTTTTGCACAGAGAAAGAAACTATCAACAGAACTAAAAAAAATACTAAATGGGAAAAAATATTTGCAAATGATGTACTTGATAAGGACTTAATATCCAAAATATACAACTGAACACATACACACACACACACACACACACACACACACACACACACGTAATCAGATTAAAATGAGCAGAGGACCTGAATAAGACATTTTGCCAAGGAAGACATCCAAATGGTCAATGGACACATGAAAATTTGCTCAACATCACTCATCACCAGGGAAATACAAATAAAAACTACAATGAGATAATCACCTCTAAGATTGATTAGTGTCAAAGACAGGAGATAACAAGTGTTGCCAAAGATGTAGAGAAAAAGGAACACTTGTATTGTTGGTGAGAATGTAAAATGGTACAGCTCTGATAAAAACAAAACAAACAACAACAAAAACAAATACTACAGAGGTTCCTCAAAAAATTAAAAACAGAACAACCAGACAATCTAGTAATTCTGCATCTGGGTATTTACCCAAAGAAAACAAAACACTAATTCCAAAGGATATGTGCACCCTTATATTTATTGCAATAAACATAGCCAAGATATGGAAACAACCAAGCATCCATCAATAGATGAATGGATAAAGAAGATATGAAACGCACACACACACTAGTAATATAAAGGATAAAAAACAAAGAAATCCTGCCATTTATGACAATAAGGATGGATCTAGATGATATTGTGCTAAGCAGGTCAGTCAGACATAGGGAGACACATACCATATGACTTCACTCATATGCATAATCTAAAAACCAAGCAAAAACAGAAATAGAATCATAAACACAGAGAACAAACTGGTGGCTGCCAGAGGGGACAGAGGTTGTGTGGTGGGCAAAGTCAGTCAAGGAGAGTAGGGAATGCAAGCTTCCAGTTATAAAATAAATAACTCATGGGGAAGAAAAGTACAGCATAGGAAATGTAGTCCGTAATACTGTAGTAACTTTGCATGGCGGCAGATGGTAATAAAAACAACAAAAAAGATAACAAATACATAGGAGCATCCTCCACATAAATGGCCCAGATGTAAATAAAAAAGGAAATCAGGTAAGTTTAACAGAAATTAGTGTGACTACAAACAGAATGTTTCCAGAAACGCTAAGCAAAGTCTACGTGCTTTGTTTAGCAACAAAATACAAGCAACTACGTTACTAATGATAGAATCATGGTAAGACTCTAGAGAACTTTGCTTCATCCGTCAAGTTCTCTTTATAATTTCCAAACTGCATTTCTTCCCTGACACACTGAGTTAGTGACAGTAACTCACAGCAGCTGGATTCATCTTCATTAAAGTGACAGTCGGACACTCCATCACATAGCAGGAGAGATGGGATACACTTGTTGCTGGAGCACTGGATCTCCATTTCACCACAGCACTGAGGAGGGGGGCTGAGAGAACAATCCTTTTCATCAGAGCCATCTATGCAGTCTTCCTGTCCGTTACATTTCCCTGGAGTGTGTAGATACAAGAAAACTGATGGGCTTCACAGGATGATGGCTAGGGGGGCCCCAGGACCTAAACAGAGAGCAAGTTGTTTTCATATTAGGAGAAGTATTGCTCTGTCCGGTGTTGAAATATCATAGGATACATTTATTCCTGGGTAAAAATGAAACATTATGGTAATTTAAATAAATTAATCTTCAATTAGGAATGATGTGAGCTCCGCAAAACATCCAGGTGTTATTAGAGACTATGCCCCATCTTAACCTTAGAAACAAGATCCTTTAAAAAATGACACTTTCAAACTAAAGAAGAGATTTTGGTTCGTGTGGTTTAAATTTGACCACTACATCGGATTTTCCTTGAGAGTGAAGCTATTTTACACAGTAAGTTAAGTACTTTGGAAAGCTGCATTTGCAATTCTAGAATTATGTGAAGGAAACTGTCATTCGACCAGTAGGTAGTTTACAAACTTTTTGTAGCCTCCACTTGGGAAATTTGGCTCCTGAGACCCTGGTCAGGGCTGAGTCACAGAAGTAGACGTCTGGCATGAGTTTGTCACACTGCTCTAGGCCCTTGGGTCTCGATGACAGCTCAAAGGTCATGTGCTGTCATATGGAAAGCACCAATGAAATCATAATGGATGGCAACATACTGCCCTAGCAGGAATCTTGAAGATAATTGGTTCAAATCCAATCGACCTATTTTACAAATGGGGATGCAGAGGCCCATAATTTTTGAATGAATGTACAAAGACATAATACTAGTTTATAAATTTTTATCACATGAAACTCTTCTGCAGCACTGGTTTGTTTGTCTGTTTGTTTGTTTATTTATTTATTTTTGCAGCACTGGTTTAAATCAGTTCTAAGCCAAAACTTAAAGCATGAGCAAAGACTGATGACTTGCTGCAATTTTTAGAAGTCAGAAATATATGAGAATATACCTAATTGCATTAATTTTCTGGAATAACATTGGTGCAATGGTCCTTAAGCTTCGTATTATCTCTTTAACAGTTGTTGATGAACCTGTCAGTATATTAAGGGGAAAAATAGATAATGGTGGGGACCAGTTCAGGAATAGTTTTGTGTTCTTTACATTTTAGAACAACTTTTATTCATATTGTTATTTAAATTATATATGAGATTATATATTCTATCTTATACAAAAGATATATAATTATAATTACACAATTATATAGAAGATATTGATTATATATTATATATAAGATTATATAAGAATAATTTGTTTTATGTATTAAGATGCTATTGTGAATTTCTTAAAAAAATGAAACTTTAAAGTTTTTCTTTCTCCCAACTCAATCGAGTGGTGGTAATATATGTAGGATATATTTAGACTCAAACTCTGTGGTGAAAGCCATATATTTGCGGGAAATTTTCCAGGAAACCACCTTATTGGACTGGGCTAAATGTATGACTTTAAGACACTCCTACCATGTTTTTATCTCACGACTAACAGGTCATAGTGGCATATACACTTGTAGTGCTCTGATGTACGCATCAGAAACTCAAATTTAGAAGGTAAATTGGATTTAAGCTTTTGTTTTGTTTTGTTAAAGATTTTGTTTATTTATTCATGAGATACACAGAGAGAGACAGAGATACAGGCAGAGGGAGAAGCAGGTTCCTGTGGGGAGCCTGATGCAGGACTCGATCCCAGGACCCTGGGATCACAACCTGGGCCAAAGGCAGATGCTCAGCCACTGACCCACCAAGGTGTCCCTGGATTTAAGTTTTTATATCTTTATACCTACACACACACACACACACACACACACACACACATCCATTAGATTAAACTCACATTTAAGGATAGGTAGACATTCTTAATTTGATTTTTTCTAAAATATTTTATATGCTGAACTTTCATCTTTACGAACTCATCAAAGGTTGAAAAGTTTGAATAAACTGCATATGATAAAAATTTAGAATCAGATTTCATTATATACCTATTACTTAGCTGAGGTACTAACCTTTCTGAAAAAAAATACAAAGGAAGTAATTTTTCCGTATTCCAAGACAAGCACAAATTCCCAGTGCTCCTCCCCTGTTCAGAATGAGGCATATATGTGTGTCTGTTTGTGTGCATGCACACGCACACATGTGGGTGTGTTCCCCTACATTTTCCCTTACATTAGATATGTAAATATAAATAATACCTTTTATTTGGAGGAATTATTCAGAATTATTTATGGCAAAAGGTACTCAGAGCTCACTTGTCCTTCTTTACAAGGAAATTGGTAGACTTGTGGAAATCCTTTTGTGGATTCTGTCTTGGGCTGAGGTTTTTCCACCAAGATTAAGGTGTTTTATCCCACAGCTGCCTGGCGGGGGTGGGGGGGCTTTGCAGACAGCTCCCAGAGTCCCACCCTGGGAGTTTCCATCTGAAGTTACAACCCCTCCCGGGAAATGGCTCCATTCACTGACTGGTGCACTGGGGATAGACAAGCCCAGCCCCTACGCCTCAGCCAGGGACAACTATGAAAGGGCCAGTGTGGCTCCAGAGCCCCCATGGCATGGGCTGAGGCCCCCCTACGGCACCTGCATCACACCTGAGCGTCCCTCCGCCCAGTCTTGCTCCCTTCGCTCCATGGGGCTTACTGCTGGGAGAATTTCCAATCGGCTTTCTACAAAGGAATCTGTGTCTCAAGGTCCACTTCCCTGGGAACCTTGCCTCAGATACACTCCAAGCACCAAAACGTATCCGGTTTTAAACTGAATTCCTCTGAATCACTTCCTAAATTTTCGCTAAAGTGTTTCTGATGTGAGAGGAACATGAACTTGCATCCCTAGGGGAGTCTAAATAGGCTCTTAGCCAGAAGCACTTCTCCATAAAGCCCAGCAATTCTCTTAAGTCTCTTGTTTTATCTGATGAAAATTCTGTATTCTGCTACACAATATATCCGTGCTTAGCTTGACAGTAAAGTGCTCAGACAGTAAAATGCTCAGAAGTTGCCAGGGGTTGGGGAATAGAAGAGATAAATGATGTTCTCATTCATTTGGGGAATATAAATAATAGTGAAAGGGAATAGAAGGGAAGGGAGAAGAAATGGGTAGGAAATATCAGAAAGGAGACAGAACATGAAGACTCCTAACTCTGGGAAACGAACTAGGGGTGGTGGAAGGGGAGGAGGGCAGGGGGTGGGGGTGAATGGGTGACGGGCACTGAGGGGGGCACTCGACGGGATGAGCACTGGGTGTTATTCTGTATGTTGGCAAATTGAACACCAATAAAAAATAAATTTATTATTAAAAAAATAATAATAAATAAATAAAATCTTAAAAAAAAGAAAAAAATGAGTGTGGTACAGGGGATTTTTAGAGCAAGGAAATTCTTCTGTATGACACTACAATGGTAGATATATGTCGTGCTATAGACCAAATGTTTGTGTCCTCCCAAATTTCATATGCTGAAATGCGATGATATGTAGAGGTGATTAGCTCATGAGGGTAGAGCCCTCGTGAACATAACAATAACTCTTGCTCCTTCCACCTTGTGAGGACACAGCAAGAAGGCATCATCTAAGAAAAAGCAGCAATAATATACCTCAGAATCTGTACTTGAGGGACACCTGGGCGGCTCAGTGGCTGAGCATCTGCCTTTGGCACAGGTCATGATCCTGGGGTCCTGGGATCGAGTCCCGCATCAGGTTCCCCACAGAGTCTGCTTCTCCCTCTGCCTATGTCTCTGCCTCTCTCTCTCTGTGTCTCTCATGAATGAATAAAATCTTAAAAAAAAAAATCTGTATTCTAGCCTGTATCTCCTATTTGATGTTTTTCTTCTGAAATCTCTATGTTCTAGTTTCTCCAAATCCCTTTTAAACTTCAACATTTAAAGTACACAATACTTTAAGGGTGCCTGAGTGGCTCAGTCAGTTTAGTGTCCAACTCTTGATTTTGGCTTGGGTCCTGATTTCAGGGTTGTGGATTGAGCCACACATTGGGCTCCACCCTCAGTGGGGAGTCTGCTTGTCCTCTCCCTCTGAATCCCCCCCTTGTGCTCTCTCTCTCTCAAATAAATAAAATCTTTAAAAAAAAAAGTACACAATACTTTGATAAATGTAGTGTGCATAGGCCAAGCACACTGGCCCATTATTTACCATCCCCAGTGAGCTGCTTAGGCAGGTTGTTTAAAACCAATGGACCTAAAGTGCAGTGGACACACAAGGAGCATAGAGCCTTATCAGTGCCAACCCTGGTATGCTGCATTGGAAATGCATGCTGCTGTACCTACATGAGGGGGTAACTTTGTGGGAGAGAGGAACGTGATCAGAGCAAAACTAAGACCTCCAGGAAAGCAAGCTGAAAAGAGCACTTTCAGGTGTCACTTCCATATGCCCCAAGGGGCACCATCAGGATAGAAAAAAATGAAAGAGAAAGTAAGAGAGAGGGTTATTCACATTTTGGAGAGTGTGACAGAGAGACGGGAGCAGGAGAAAAGACGCTCCAAGAAAATGGTGCACTCATTTTGACAAAATGATTCACTGTTGAACTTAAAGTCACTTCTTGTTAAGTCAACATCTCTCAAGCTGTATCTGATAAGAGGTACTGCATAGACCTGACGCTGGGCAGGGAGATGAGAGGCTGGTGTGAAAGCTTCGTGCACGCGTGTGCGCGTACACACACACACAAACACGCACACACACTACTATACTATCTCATAATATCTGTAGGGGAAAGTTCCTCAAGTGAATTACAAGTCTAAAGTGTACTGGGATCAATAATGAAGTAGATCTCATGTTGTAGTTTGCAACTGATTTGTTCTCTATATATTAGAGCTAATTCAAGGCGGTATCAACAGTAAAGCTACATTCACTCACTATATCCCACCAAGTGCGCTTCCTCCAGTGGAGAATAAGTGTGGATGTACAGTAAGCATCTTAAATTGTTCATAGGTCACTGCTGTATTATATTGCATGACGAGTGGATAAGCACATGAGCATTCGTTTTTGTATGCTTCAGCAGAAAATAAGGTAAGAAATGCTGCTTGGGAGTATAGGGAATTTGTATTCAAGTTTGTTTTGAGAAAAGTGATTCTGAAACCAGCAGAAAATTCCACAATTGAAGCTCTTCTGGCACCACCAGAAAAAAAAAAAAAAAAAAAAAAAAAAAACAGCGGAATCACTACAACTGCGAAAACTGCATATTTGTCATGTCTTTATCCATTTTTTTTTTGCTCAGAGTTGTGATTTCACATTGAATTTGGCCATTCCAAATCAGAGTTGAAGAAGTTTCAAACTTCATTTGAAAATACAGTGACATTTTAATGTCCAAATAATTAATGTCATGAAGTGTTGCTCAACAAATATTTCTTAAACTGATGAATAATAAATCAATGATTTAAATAGTAGTTTTACTTTCCTTGATCGTATGCAATGAGATAAGCAAAATGGATAAAACTAAGAATGCACTGACAAATTGACAATCTCCATTTATTTAATATGCCACAAGATAGAGTAGATCAGAAAAAAATAGAAACTCTAAAGTTCTCTAAAAATATAACCTTCTGATATATTTAATAAATCTGTAGTTTAGCAACTAAAGCTATCATACATTCAATAGAAACTAAGGGTTTTTACCAATTGCTTCAGAAGTTTTATGGGATCTTACGTAAAGGGCTTTTAAAACAATGCTCTCTATATGAATAAATCTTCCCTTTTTATTTTGCAGTAAATCTCAGGAGAGGGAAGAGGAAAAAACCAAAAACAAAATACCTGGGACAAAGAAGTTTAGGAACCAACTTTGTTGACTAATTTTCCTATTCCTAGTAACTAAGGCATTCCTCTGAACACCACTTTCTATTTCATTCTGTGCTCTGCAGACAGTTACAGTTCCTGACATTTTGGGTATTTCTTTGTCCTCCTACAAAATGTTGTTTCCTTGTTCACTCAGTTTTGGAAGCAGCTGAAATATCTTTCTTATACCAATAAAAATTATTTCATACTAATAATTTACAGTGAAACACAGTGAAACATTCTTATGATTTTCATGTAAGTTCAATAAAAGCCTAAAAGTCTCAAGGATAATCTGATGGATTTTTATCTTGATGATTAATATGTTTAGTGAAAGCAAAATTGCCTATTTTAAAAGGAAAAATATATACATAAGGAATTTCAGTTTTAAAGACCAGGAATTAAGCTCTTGCCAAATATTGCTGTACTTAATGATATAAATGGTAAAACGCTCACTGTTAAATACATCAGTTATAAATTGGTAATTGTTTATCTCTGCCACATATCTCAATAACAATACTTAAAAAAGTCACAAAAAATTAAGACTATAGGAGGGGAAAATATCGCACATACACACACATAATTCTTCAGAACTTTTGGTTTGAGGATATTTTGAGCTATAATTTTTGTTTATATTTCCTGAAGGATCATTCACAGAGTATAAAAATATTCATTTCTTTAAATATTTTATTTATTTATTTATTCATTAGAGACACAGAGACAGAGGCAGAGACACAGGAAGAGGGAGAAGCAGGCTCCACGCAGGGAACCCAATGTAGGACTCGATCCCGGGACTCCAGGATCACACCCTGGGCCGAAAGCAGGTGCTAAACCGCTGAGCCACACAGGGATCTCCCTTTTTTTTTCTTTCTTTTTTAAATTTATTTATTTTTTATTTATTTTTTAATTTTTCATTAATAATAGTTATCTCTAATTTGGAGCCCTAAGAGGATCATTTTGATTTTCTTATTTAATTTTAATATCTAATAGCTTAAATATTCCTGGAAAGATGGAAGATGACCTTTGTTGGGACTAAAGAAAAACAGAAGAGTGTGGTACAAACAGAGATGTATGGGGAGCATGCAGAGTATATGATGAGTCAGGAGGGCTTATTTGGCTGTCAGAAGGCCTACACGAAAGAGAAAAGCCAAATGTCTGACCGAAGAGACAAAAGGAAAGGAAATCTAACAGTTTACAGAAGTTGGATCCAGTGTAAAAGCTGATAAGAACCTGAGAACAGATGCCAAACAGAAAATAATCATTATTTTCAAAGTGAAGAGCTGTAGCCACTCAAGGCTAAACTAAAATAAGTATAGAAGAAAGCTGAAAGAATTAAAAATGTATATAGACATACAAATAATGCCTTTATATATGTATATGTGCATTTGTACAAATATCATATGTAAGTATGGATGTGTGCACATGTGCCCATTGGTGCGTTGTTTGAAACCATGGAGCCTTCACAAGTGATGGAAAGAGCGGGGGATGATGGGCAACATAAGTGAGAGAGCACACAGGCTGTGGTGGAGGGGTGAACATCCTACTGCCAGAGAATCTGCTCTCCCCTAGCTCACATGGAGCTTGCACACTTGAAAGAAAATCAAGAATATACTTAGGGAAAATCAACAGCTGAGGAAACAGAACATATTTCAGAGGCCCCTAAAGAGTTATCACTTTTATTCAACATTGACATTTGCCACGATTATAGCCAGTTCCTTACTAACTAAAAAATAGTGATAGCAACGTAAATGATTGAAATTGCATAAATGAAGAATTTTCTGTCATAATCTAACCCCAAATAATCTAAAACGTGTGTGAATGTGGGAACATATATAAAAATATAAAATGTTAGAGTGTTTTTTGGTCATTTCTTTCTTGTCATGAGGCCTGGAACCCAGAGAGACCCTAGTGGATAACCCATTCCTATTTTATCGTTTCCAGA